AGTATCTGAAGCGGAAATGCCAACAAAGGATCAATTTTCTCCGTACAATTACCGGAACGTGGTGGGGAGCCCATCCGCAAGATCTCTAACGTTGTACCGGACAACGATTTTATCGGTTTTAGAGTACGGTAGCTTTTGCTTCCAGTCGGCGGCTAAAACGCACATCATCAAACTGGAACGGATCCAGTATCGCTGTCTTCGTATCACGTTAGGATGCATGCACTCGACTCATACGATGAAGTGTTGGCGGGCATGTTGCCACTATCGGATCGGTTTTCGGAATTGTCCCTCAGACTCCTCACCCGTTGTGAAGTTATGAACCAACTGATGATTGCAAACTTTGAGAAGCTTCTTGAGCTAAACCCTCAAACTCGTTTTATGTCATTGTACTACGAGTACACAGGATGTCAGCCCTTCACAACATAATCCTCCTCAGTGTTCACTCGGCTGTCGACAAAAGCAGACCACTCTCGATGTGTGCTACGCGATCGTTTGTTTTCTCGGCAGCAACCATTGTGTGGTCCTCCTCATTGTTCTTCATCAGCAGTTCTTTCGGTCGATGCGTCGTCGACTTTGGAAAGCAACCGTTTCGTGATGAGTGTGTGAGTGCTGACCACGTTTTGCGTCCATTGCTGCAATGGACGCGCTCTGACCCTCGTTGGCGTACAACAATTTGCCATACAATGAAACTACTGGAAGTTCCAGTTCTGATGGAGGAGGCTTTTTGGATAGCGGAAGATAAAGTGTTTATTGTGTTGTACCTTTTGACTATATTTTTAAGATGTATTGTATAGTGACCAAGAATCCTCGGCTCTGTTAAGTTAATTCGGTTGAGCCTTACCAAATAAATTAATAAACAAAAAAAAAAAAAACATAATCCTCATCGTGTATGCTTCTCCGACTTCGGCAATTCAGTTAATTTTGATGTAGCTATGACGCAAGAGATTTGCGGTATCCCAGAGCATCATCGGTCCATGATTGCTTCGTCAATTTTTGCTGAAAGTTTGGCTAAGTTGATTCCGCATGATCATTCTTCACAGATTTATCATTAATAGAGGCGTCCGCTGGTTTTGGTATTTTTAACGAATTACATACCGCCTCTTGAATGCTTTAAGGGGAAGCTCACCGCTCCGAAAAAATAATTACGTTTTGATTTTTCTAAAAATATTGGAAAAAGATATCAAAATTCTAAGAAAATCACATATTTTTTTAATTTTTCAAAGAAAATTCACGTGCAAAAACATTTTTTATAAGTCATTATGGCATAAAGTTGGACTCAAAAAACCACAAAACATCAACTTTTCGGTTTTTCTGAGAGTCCAATTATTTTTCATGATGGGATAGAAAAAAAATTTTTGCATGTAATTTTTGACAAAAATCTAAGGAAGAAACTGATTTTCTTGGATTTTTGATAATTTTTCCCAATATTTTTAGAAAAATAAAAACGTACCGAAAATATTTTTTTATTTTTGGGCCGGTGAGCTTCCCCTTAAGCTCCCTGTTTCGTATATGTTGCTGAACTGGCAGCAATACGCTAGAAACTATCGCCTCACTTGCACCAGATCACTATTTTATTTTTACGTATAATCTCAGTTATGTCGAGGCTATCCGTTCCATGAGGCCGGTAAAGCACTCCTCGTATTTTCTCAAATACGAAAGCTTCTAAGTGCTTTATTTTAAAGATCTTTTGTCATCACCTTTGCATGGGCCCCATCTCATTGCTCGATTCCGGGCAATGAGAAGGCGGAATCGCTTGCAAAGGTCGGCGCTATGGAAGGCGATATTTACGATCGACAAATCGCCTACAACGAATTTTTCTTCATTTATCGTCAACAGGCACTCGCCAGCTGATAACATAAATGGAGTGAAGGGTGTTTGGGACGATGGCTGGGGGACAGCAATCTCTGTGGACAAGGTTACCAGGACGCAGATCACATTATTTGGTCTTGTGCTGAGCATCGTTGAGTCAGATCTGAGCTATTAGATTCCCTTCGGGCTCGAGGTAGATAACCTAATATTCCAGTTCGGGATGTTTTGGCAGGACGCGATCTGGAGTTTATTAAACTCATATATGTTTTCTCGATGAATAGGGTTAAATACCCCATTTCCGGCCTATTAAGCACAACCCGCACTTAGTCTTTCTTAATCTGGATCAGTTTAGCACCAAACAGAATTTTATTATCACTGATGGCTTCCAAATTTATTTACCTTTCCGTACGTACCATAAGATTTGAAAACGAGAAACCAATCGTTAAGATATTGTCAAAAGTCCAACACTGCTTCTTGACGACAAACTCGGCCTATGGATTTTAAACTCGGCCTAACGCATTGAAACGCAATTGAAACGCCAATGAATTCACTTCGGCCTATCGGATGAAGATAAAAATGGATTCGGTTGGAGCGCTTCTTTTGTTTTTGGGAATAATGGGTGCAAACTTTCATACCACGCGTTCTCATTGACTTCGTTCGGTAGCTTATTAACTAAAGTATCGTACCAAACGCATAATTGACTTGTTAACTCTGAAATCATGGAGTTATTTGAAGTTTTCTGCTCGATAGGCCCAAAATGGGCGATTAGGCCGAAGTAGTTCTCTACCCTATTAACCTTAGATTGTATTTTATGTGTGTGTGGGTTTTTTTTATGTTTGTTTTGTAATAATAGTAGAATTACTCTGTTGATATCAAGTTGAATAGGAATAAGTTCATGTTTAGAAATAATGAAATATTTGTATCGTAAATCCAAATATATCATATTAACAATATGATCCATTCATGCATTTTCCAAATGTTGCAATGGCGACCCGCAAAATATTGCTTCACGCACCATCTAGTGTTGAAAAAGGTCAGCAACCATCATTCAATTACAATCGAGGGGTGCGAATACAGCTCTTATTACAAAAGTAAGAGTCAAATTATGTTCATTAATTACATTGTGTATATTACTTTCAAATTTGTCTGAAATGTCACTGTTGTCATCAAATAAAATAATATGCTGAAATACATTCATTTGAAATATTAAACAAATTTTCATTTGGTTTACCGCTCGTGACGATAAACAAATACATTGGTAGCCTTTTTGGCCACGAGGTACCTTCATCGCTAGAAAGCGAAAGAGTGGATCATATTGTTAATATAATATATTTGTTAAATCATATTTCAAACCTCCTTCTCCCTCTCCCCATCCATGAAACTGTAAATCTCAACTAATCTCGAGACGACCGCGAGTGCTCGGTTCAATTCCTTTAACTTTAGATTCAACACAGTTCAAAAAACTAGTGTAAATTTCTGTTCAGTATGATGCACATAAATGGAGCGTCACATATAAGTTTACATTATATATCATGTAAAGTTCTGAGACATTTCATGCAATGTAGCAAAAATTGTATACAAAAGCCAATTGTTGTAAACAGCATTGTTTACAAGTTGCTCGATTGCGTGACATGAAATAAAAGTTTACGTGAATGAATATTTACATCACTATTAAAATTTATCTGTGAAGACATTAATAATGTATAACGCAAAAGATAATTTGGCTCTGTAAAGTTTATTCGATTGAGCCTTTACAAATAAAAATGTAAACTTATATGATATGTGACGCTCCTTTTATGTGCATCATACTGAACAGAAATTTACACTACTTTTTCGAACTGTGTATAGTCATTCCTGAGTTTATTTTCTCCTGCTTGGGTTCAGCGTAGGGGAGAATGGTATACAACGCACCCCCTGGGCAGAACGCACCAACTGACTTTCATTTGTGTTTTTCATGGCTTTTACGTAACTTTTTTGTTGTCTTATCAAGCAGCACTTCTAGCATAGCATCTGAACTCAAAATCCTGCATGATAAATCCTTGAATTGGATTAAAAATTCCAAGAAAAACTCAAAATAAAATGAAAAAGTGCGTCTTACCCCGGGGGTGCGTTATGTACTGTCCTCCCCTACGTCAAAAGAATAGTTTTTTCAAAGAAGTTTCAGATTTATGATTGAGCTAATGTAGATAGAAACATCTTCAATGCAAACGACTTCTCCAATTTGAACAATCTTCGTTCACGATACAAACCACTCGGTATGACTTAGGGGGGATTTTGAAATTTAAAAATCCAATCCATCTTTTCGACGACACTATCAGGCACGAGTTTTTGATCACAACTCCACAGGTTTCGTCTACTTGTCCGTTATATTGTTTATTTTCATAATTTCTATTTCAAACTAAGAATGAGACACCCTAATACACATGCACGCTAATAGCAATCAAAAAGTGCTGCGCCTAATGGAGCGAATGCCAATTTTACTTTCATTTGGCATTTTGTCGCTTGTAGACAAAAAATAGGGAAACAAAAAAGAATTCATTGAGCCGTTATTTTCGGCAGAACCAAAACGCCAAACGCAGTGTTGATAAAACCTTTGCATCGTCTTCATCGTCGTCGTGCTGGTTTGTGTCGTCCGGGAGAATCGTTGTTCAACGTTAATCGTCATAATCTAATTTACTTGCAAAGGTAATTCAATTTTTGCAGACAAGATTTTGACAAAACGTGTATTTTTTTAGTTTTTTTTCTTATGTTTTCTTTTTACGCGTTACGTATCATAGACACATTTTTTTCACGCCAAATGCTCCCTACCAAACTTTATAAATTTTCAATAATGCATAGCAGCTAGTAGCTTCAAGTAAAAAACGCTGTGACTGTAATAACTATTATGCAATTGCATCGATTCTCAACTTGAGGTACGTGAACCCCCACCAAGCGAAAATCACATGAAAGCGATATTGAATGAGCTTGACCGCAAGGTGGGGGAACGTTGAGAATCGATATTCAATTGACTTTTAGTCAAACATATTGTCCCACATACACTCTTAATAGTCCACTTCTGATTACGCGAAACAGTTTTTTCCACTGCACCAGGAGTCCATTATCATCATATCACTTCACAGTTTAAATACAACCAATCGATCAATCACCATACACGTCAGAGCCACTTGTAGCGAAATCAACTTATAATTTCAATTTTGATATCACTTCCAGTCTCTTGCAGCCCTAGATACGCTCAACATGGAACAGCACACCGCGGATGAACTTCAGGCACCGGATTGGCTGAACGACCAGTTCTTCCTGGAGGTGATCAGGAAGGCTCAGAATGATCCTTCAATTACACTCTGTCATGGTTGCAAACTTCGCCCAGGCACGAATCCCGGTGATCACTTCGGCAGCGTCATGTTCAGAACTGCGGTCCATTATCGATCAAACCGATTCCAAAGCGAACGGGCTATAAGTCTAATCATGAAGACCACGACAGAAGCTGAGGGATATAAAAAGGAGGTGCTGAAGGACAACTCTCTGTTTGACACGGAAATCAAGATGTACAGTGAAGTGCTTCCGGCAATGTCCAAGGTTCTGGAGGAAGCTGGAGAGCACTTGGAAGTTCCAAGGTATGTGGTGAAAGTTTGATTCACTATCCAAAGCAATATGCTAGTTAATACTCTCCAAACCATTTAGGCTGATCTATGGTGCAATCAAACCGCATACCATAATCGTTCTTGAAGATATTTCACCGAAAGGCTGGCAAACCGGACGGGAACTCGTTACTAGCTTTGAGGAAGCCCTTCCCACAATAAGGAACATTTCCAAATTCCATGCTGCCTCCTTGGTCCTACACCAAACGGTGAGTGAATCATTTTTCAATATACATTACAATACAAACCGTATTCAACTTTTAGTCCATGGATCTATCGACGATCCATGCTCAAATATATACGAAGGAATTCGGTGGAGGTTTAGAAATTTTCTATAAAGGCTTTGATGATTTTTGTGACGCTGTACAAACCTGGGACGGTTGCGACAAGTTTGCTCCCAAGTTCAAAGATCTAAAAGGTGTGATTAAGAAGAAGCTTCAGCAAGTGTACATTTCAAATTCCAAAGGCGTCGGATACAACGTGCTGAATCACGCAGACTTACACTGGAAGAACCTGCTCCATAAGAAGACTTCAAACGATCGAATCAAGGATTCCATGTTGATAGATTACCAATGCTGCAACTGGGGATCGCCAGCTGTCGACGTTCTTTGTCTTTTGGATATGGTCGTGGATCATGAGACCAAGAAAAACTACCGGAAGGAAGTAATCTACGAATACTATCAGCACTTTGTGGAGGTTTTGAACAAGCTTGGATTCCTGGGCAGCGTTCCAACTTTGACTGATTTGCACATTGAACTACTACGGAAAGGAATCCTGGGTAATGTTATGATTCTGTTTAGATAAGTTTCAGTTTTTATGGTTTAAATTTTGAAATATTTTTTCAGAGGTCTTCCATGTCGTAGTGTTTGAACAGTTCAAACATACAGAATTAACCGAAACGACGCTTGAGGATATAAACTCCGGCCAACTGGAGAATCCGGGCTTTGGGAAAGAGCAGTATTTGAATGTTGTACGAACGGAACTGCCTTTGTTAATGTACAAAGGTCTGTTGGATTGAGTCTTTGGCGAGTGAAATACAGTTCCATTATTTAGTAAAATAGACACCTTTTAAGATTACTGTACTCTTTGGATGTTACCGCGTGAAACTATAGAAGGCATTAAATAAGTTCACTTTTTATTAACTCGCTTTTCAGACAAAATCAGACCCTGTGTATTTCTTCATCTAAGGTGCTACGTTCTTATTGTAAATGTAGTAGTAAAATTATGTTTATTTCTGTTGATTATGGTAGTACATTGATTTATCATTTTAATTGATTAGCCTACTTGGCTCTTCATCTTTGTTTAATTTGATATTCTAATTTAATATTTGCGTTTTTCAACTAGTTTACAGAATATCCCTTTGGGGATGTGTTTTATTTGAATTGGAAAAAAGTGATAACCTACCTAACTACGAGTATAACTTAACCTAACGTGCTAGATCACGTATGATCTGATGATTTGATCTCAGGCAGATGTCTCTGAACCTTTCCAGGATGAATACTCTCCGTTCTTCTAATGTTTGAATTCCAGCCAGGAAGTGGATCTCAGAATTTCTAGTCCGCGGGGGACTGTTTAGGACCATCCTAAGGATCTTGTTCTGGATCCTTTGGAGTTTAAGGTGATGGCATTTTGCGCAACTCTCCCAGATTGGCATACCGTACTCGATTACAGGTACGGCGGATCTTACTAGCAAAATCGTTATTTCTGAGATCCACCAACCTGGCCTGAATGATCTTTGTTAATCGATTGCAATTGGTCTTCAAGTTAGGCAGGCCAGTACGCTGGTACTGCCTACGAATGGTGTTACGGAGTCTAATGAGATCTTTGGTAGGGCTGTCAAGGTTCAGAGTGTTACTCACCTGTCTGGATACTGGCATGCGTTGTTCCCTGGCCCGGGAAATCGCCTCCTCGATGGTTTGTAGACACCGGTCAACATCTTCCGACGTCCCCGGTTGGACATCGTAGTCGATGGTTGTGTCGACGCAGTGTTGATATTGTGCCCAGTTGACTCGATGGTAGTTGCGCCGGGAAGCTTCGAATCGGTTTACCGAGGATCCAACTACGGCCACCACCGGGTAGTGGTCCGAGCTCAGCTCCTGGAATCCCACAGGTTGCGAGACGTTGTGTTCCATGTTGCTTACGAAGATGTCGATGGTCGCATGGACCCCAGACCGACTCAACCGGGTGGGAGAGTCCGGGGCCAAGATGGTATAGTGGCCCTCTTGCAGGTCTTCATTGAGGATGATGCCGTTTCTATTGCTCCGACCGTTGCCCCAAGCTTCATGTTTTGCGTTCAGATCGCCAGCGATGATAAAGTTCCCGCTTCTCCGGGTGAGTTTGATGATGTCTTTGCGAAGGGCCATTGACGACCCGTCCCTGATGTTGGTTTGCTTGGGGCAGTAGGCCGCGATGATGGTGATTGGGCCAAGTGATGTGCTCACCTCCACTCCGATGGCTTCAATTGTTTTCAGCTGGAAGTTTGGTAGCAGCCGGCAACTGATGTTCCGTCTTGCAGCGATGGCCACTCCTCCACCTTCAGAGCAGGTGCGATCAAGTCTGACGAGCCGGAAGTCGGAAAGGAATACGTTCAGTTCGGGCTTCAGATGCGTCTCGATGATGATAGCAATGTCGACCTCCTTGGTGTTGAGGAGATCGAGTAGCTTTCTATGCTTGTTCGTCAGTGAGCAAGCGTTCCAATTTGCAATTTTTATAGCTTCATGGTCCATTCTTGGTGACGAGTGACAAGGCAGCATGAAGCTGTTCAGATCGAGTCTTGCAGGTACGCATGATGATGATAACCTCGGCCACGAGCGTCACAAGTTCCTCCGAGGTGAACGGAGAATCGTCGACAGAATCACCTGAGACAGCACCAGCGTATGATAAACCAGGGGCGGTGGATGAACCTGGAATTGGCTGGGCCACAGCAACAGCGAGACGATGCTGAACTGTCCGACTGTTGGGAACCATTTGGAAACTCGCTTGATTGGCTTGTCGGTTGTTGAGCGGAAGCGGGGCTAGGTTCGGAACATGTCGACGGGGCGAGAGAGCTGGGTACTGGACTTCCGTTAGTACAGAAGGCGAACGATGATTACGAAGGCGACCGAGCTGGTTGTTGATTGTGGTCTTCCGACAGATATTAATGAACTCCACTCGCTTGGGACATCCGCGATTGGAGGCTTGGTGGTTTCCACCGCAGTTGACACACGTTGGCTCGATGTCATCAACTTGCTCACAGGACGCAGTTGAGTGAGTTCCAGCACACTTGTCGCAGTTTGTCTTCATGTGGCAGTTTTTGGTGCCATGGCCATATGAGAGGCAGTTCATACACTGCGTTACATCACGATGTAATGCTCCCAACTGATGATGACCTGGAACAGGTCCCGGATTTTGGATCTCAGAGCCGCAAGACTGGTGGATCCCTTCGTGAAATGCACCAGGAACAACTGATCACGGAAGCTGGTGTTTTGGTTGGGACGCCGGTTCATCTGGAACACGGCCTTAGGTTGGATCCCAAGCCGCTCCAGCTCGGACTTCACCGCAGCAGCCTCGAACGACGGTAATCCACGCAAAACCACCTTCAGTGGCTTGCTCGATGGCAGATCATGCGTGAAAAAGTCCACGTTGTTGTTCTTCAGGAAACTTCCTATTTGTTTGTACTCCTCCAGGCTGGAGCACATGATTTTGGTACCGATGCTGCAAAGCTTGAAGCGAGGCAGCAGCTTGTGTTTTGCCAGCTCGGCACCCAGCTTGGCAACATCCTTCACCGGCGTAAAAAGCGAGGGAATCCGCTCTCGTCTTGCAATGGGAACGGCGTCACCACCGCCATTTTCTTCCGGGAGTACTGCATACTGGTTGGCTTGCAGTACTCGTTTTCCGGCGTCATCCTGCGACGCGCTGGGCTTGATTAGCACCTTCTTTGAATGGCCCGCTGCTGGCTCATTGGCACGTTTCGGCACCATTTGTTTCGTGTTTGCAAGTTCAATTAAACTTGTCAGAACGCGAGAAGGTGGCGACACTTCCACGGCGCAACGCGACAGCACAAAACGAAACAAAATCGAATCGAGAACTCGAACGAAAATACGGACTGAACAGCTCGACAGTCGAGCAAAGAATCTTATTGTAAATTATGCCTGCTTTCAATTTATAGTTCTAGTGAGAAAATCGTACCCTCAGAAAAGCAAACGTTAGACCGTCATCAGTTTCGTATATGAAATATGGAGTTTAGAAAAGTTCTTCAATTAGGCCTTGTAATCTTCTGAAGGTGGCCTTAGCTCGGTCGGTAAAGAAGTAGCTATAAAGCAAGACCATTCTGGAAGCGGCTAATAGATTTGATTCCCGGTGCGGTCTAGGAATTTTTCGGGATGACGAATTTCTCGAATTCCCTGGGCATAGGGTATGATTGTACTTGGCACACAATAATACTAAAGCAAACACCACATGGAGAAAATTATTGACAATACTCAAAATTATTGACAATAATATTGATGCATATATTGATGACGAAAATATTTATGAACATATTGACGCCAAACCAACAAAGTTTGATTTCAGGTTTAAATCTTTCCCCTCATTTTTCCCTTCTGTTTGACTACAACAGCAGATGGGGCTTGTTCATCTGCAACCTTTTTCAAGGTGATTTTGATTTGACTCTGAATATTCCATCGGATACAACAATGTTAGCGACTCTGTATTCTCCCCGAAAATATTGTTGAAAATATTGGCATGAAAATGTTGATGGAAATATTGACGAAACTTCTGTCGTGTGGGGTGCACTTAATACAAATATGGTACAGGATTAGAAAGTTGTCAATTAACAACTGTGGAAGTGCTCAAAGAATACTAAGTGGAGAGCAAGCGTACAGTCGCAGATTCCGGAGCTTCCCAAGCAACATTGCAAGTTTATCGTGGTTTTATAGCATTCTACAAGTCTAAATCATGGTCTACAGAACCCTCATAAAACCTTAATTGTTACTTGGGTTCTGAAGTGGTATGGAGTTCTTTTCAAAGGGAAATATAGATAGAATAGTATAGTACACTGGAGTCGTTTTTTACGCAGGAGATACGTGCCGCGTAAAAAAAAAACGCTTAAAAAAACTACCGAGATTTTGATTTTTCCCATGCTTAAATATTTTATATAAATCGGATTTTGATGCCATTCGTTATTATAGCATGCTATGGTCCATATAGACATATTTTAAAAAAATCTGTATTTACACCAAAAATTGTGATTTTTTTAAAAGTATGCCATTCGATTACCTATAGTTTGAAACGGATACAAGTCGATAGGTCGTATCGTTGTCGAGAAATCGTGTAAAAAAAAACCGTGTAAAAAAAAACCGCGTAAAAAAAACCGCGTAAAAAGCGACTCCAGTGTATACTCAGATCTTTGAGGGCGTGTTCTAGTTCAAAGAGCCAGCTCGTACTCGCTCGAAGATGTTCGTACTTCCTTGTGATTTTTTGTCTTTCTGTTTTCTATTTTCTAAAATGACATTCAATCGTCAACATAACGGATTGCCTCTCTCTCTCTCTCTCTCTAAAGGGCCTGGGTTCAATCCCAGTCGGCAAAGTAAAGCCGTTGGCCCCCGGACGGGAAACAAATCAAGGAAAAAAATCAAAATAATGAGCCAGTTCGAGCTGGTAGAACCTAAGAAGAAGAGGAAAAAACTGCCTTATTTTTGTTTGTGAAGTGTTCTTCTTTTCTCGCGGAAACGTCCGCGCAAAAACTATTTCATTATGGGCGACGTAGTCGACTGTCAAAATACAAGAAAATAGATTCCCTGTTGTAAAAAATTCTCGCGTTTCTATTCGTTCACCCGACCAATCAGGCGCTGGTTCGCGTTTGAATTGGTTCATAAAAGTCCTCCTATTGTCTCCTCTTCCTCTTAGGGTAGAACATACTCGGGTTAAAGCATGCGGCTCACTTAGTAATGGAACAACATCATTTGGGTCTATATCGGAATTGAATTGACGGATTTGAAAACAGTTTTCACTCAAGTGCATGCTATTCCTTATTTTTAACAAAAATATACGAAACGAATTTTTCGTCGCGGATTCGAAG